TGGGCGGGGAGGCGGGGTGGCCCCGGGGACACGCTCACCTCAGTCGGGCGCCTGGGCGCGGCCTCCGCCATCGGACTCACTGGGCGGGAAGGCTCCGAAGCCCCCGAACCGGGACCGGGGCGATTCTACCAGCTTGGGACCCGCTGGCCGACCCTCCGGCGCCTCCTCAGTTCGGCACCCGCGCTCTGATTCATTGAAACCGCGGGACTGGCCCAACTGAGGGCCCCGAGGAGGGCACTGAAAGTCCCGCTCTAACCTCAAGCGCAACATTGAAACGCTGGGTTTCCTGGGCTTTCATTGGCTCAACCAGCCATGGTTGGACGCGTTGCCCTCTGGGTAATGTAGTTTCCCCAACAGAACCGGGGAGCTGTTGTTGTAGTCACTGATGTGGGAGATTAAAGGGATGGCTCAGCCCTAAATGATTTGGCTCAGTGGATAGAGCGTCGGCCTGAGGACTGAAGGGTCCCAGGTTCGATTCTGGTCAAGGGCATGTACCTTGGTTGTGGGGACATCCCCAGGATGTGCAGGAGGCAGCTGATCCAAGTTTCTCTCTCATGGATGTTCCTCTCTGTAGAAAATTAATAAAACATTTTTTAATTTTTTTTTTAAAAAAGGTGTGGCCTATACATCACCAGTAGGGGCTTTGCATGAAGTAGCAGATCTATGCTTCTCTCTCATCAATGTTTCTCTCTCCCTTTTTCTCTCTGAAAATAAAATCAACAAAAACATATTAAAAAAAAAAAAAAAAAGAGCAAGAGCCTGCAACACATTTACAAAACGGGTCAAAATCTTAAAAGAGTAGCCCTATGCATTATTAGTAAGTACGCCAGAGAACTGGAACCTACATACACTGCTGGTAGGAATACAAGAGGAATAATACATACCCAGGTTGCGAGTTGGATCCCTGATTGGGGCGCATGTGGGAGGCAACCAATTGATGTTTCACTCTCACATTGATGTTTCTCCCTTCTGCTCTAAAATCAATTAAAATAAATAAGTGAGTCCTGGCTGGCTTGGCTCAGTGGATAGAGCATCGGCCTGAAGGGTCCCAGGTTCAATGCTGGCTCAAGGGCACATGCCTGGGTTATGGGTTCTATTCCCAGTGGGGGGCATGCAGGAGGCAGCCCATCAATGATTCTCTCATCATTGATGTTTCTATCCCTCTCTCCTTCTCCCTTACTCCCTAAAATATATATATATACATATACACACACTAGAGGCCTAGTGCACAAAAATTTGTGCACTCTGGGGGAAGGGGGGGTCCCTCAGCCTGGCCTGTGCCCTCTTGCAGTCTGGTGCC